AGCAGACCCTTCCCCAGATGAGCTCTCAGATGCAACTGCAGCCTGGATGTCACCTTGACCCCAGTCTTCTTTATAAAGAGACCCTGAGTACTGAGATCCTGCTAACTTCAGCCCAGATTTCTGACCGGCAGAAACTGGGATGATATGTGTTGTCTGTCTTCAGCTGCTATGTTTTGGAATAATTTGCTATGCAGTGACAAGTAACTAAAATGGATCGGTTTATCTGTTTCAGTTATATGAACAATTTATAAACAGATCAGAGTATCGACCCATTTTACTGAGTGAATGACTGTGTGATTGGGATTTGAGAAAAAATCTTAAAATCTGACCAGATTTTGGACAGAATTTCATTTGGACCAAATGATGTTCACTGGCAATGATACAATCATCTCAACTAACTCCTTTAAATATTGCAATGAAATTCTTCACAAATCTTCAGTGACTCTTTCCAGAAATGATTCTTTAGGAAGGTATTTTCTCTTAGCTCTTTGAAATTAATATTTTTAAATGATCTAAGATATTAATACTAGGCTATTTTTGAGGCTCTCCAATAATACATAGGGTTGGCATAGTTAAGATGAGCTAATTTGTGTATGTTCAAGGATGTTAGCCAAGCTGTACATTTAGTAATATTAAAATAGTTTAGTAGGAAAAGTATTAATATTTTTAAATGATCTTAGATATAATGGATTTTACATTCTTTTCTCTCTCCCCAAAAGAGATGCAAATGTTTCTTATTTGTCAAATACATCTCAATATAAAAAAGCATGGCTGCTCTAATTAGATACATTTGTTTTAAGGCAATTTTTCTTTATTGGTATAGTTAATACAGTTTCAAATTAAAACTAAAAAATTCCTATTTCTCCAATGTCTAACTTAGCTTCAAGAGAATATTCAGAAACTGTATACTGAGAAATGTTATGAAATTTTATGTATAAGAGCAAATAAAACTCATTTGTAAGTGTCTCTTTGGAGGAGGAATGATCTTTTGAGATAAAATAAGATGGTGTAAATAAGCACACATTGCAAACTATGATGCTGGTGCCACAGAAATACAAACACAACACTGTTTATTATTTTCCACATTCCAGACACACTACTTATAACCTATAAGTGTCTGAGGCTTGAAAAAATGGAAAACTGGGTTTGCTGTTTCTCGAATTTACTTGATAATTGATATTTGAAACATCTTTTTAAAGGCTACTTTTGAAGCTCTCAAAAAAACATAGGGTTGGCATATTAAGATATAAGCTAGCAGTGTAGGTTCAAGGATGCTAGCCAAGCTATACATTTAGTAATATTAGAAGAATTTGGCCAGGAAAAATATGCTAATTAGCATGATCCCATTTCTAGAATAAACATGGAACGTTATTGGGGATGTTTCACAACTGAGATATTTTTCCTTTCATCACATATTTTGTGGTTGATAAATTTCAAGAACTTGGATTGTATCTTGGTATGGCGCTAAGAGTTCAGAGAAAGATACACCACAAATATATTTGCTCAGTACTAAATGTACATGATGACCCTGTGCTGGAGTCCTCTGCGGTGGGAACAGACAGGAGATAAAAGACCTGTCCCTGTCTTTTGAGTATCTGACAATATAAAATGGACAAATTAAATTAGTCTACTTAAAACAACTGCGAAATGATATAACATTGCAATTCGTCTCTGAATAAATGAGGAAGAGAATGCAATGCATATTCTAAAAATTAAATTTAAAAATCTTTCCTTCGCTCTTATTCTCAGGATGTTGCTGTACTATTTGTGTCTAAACTCCTCAATGATCTGGTCTTGTTTACTCGTTTCTCTTACCACCCATGCTGCAGTAACAGGAAAGCTCTTACTCACATTCCCTACTTGAGCCACTGCCAAGGCAACTGATTTCATGTAGGCATCCATCAGCTCATTCCAATGAAAATGGATAGAGCCTTAAATCTGGTCCTGGGTGTACACACGGAACTACTCTGTGCTCAAACACATATACCCTGGAAGTGTAGGGAGCTGACACCTGTTAGGTCGCCCTTCACCACTGGGAAACAGAAGCCCAGGTTCTCCCAGGAAGATGGCTCAAGATGCAGTGCATAAGCCTCAGTGGAGTTAATCCAGCAAATATGGCTGGTGAGCATCGGAATGAGCCCTTGAACCGTTGTTGGCAAGTCCAGTATCTTTGGGCAGGCAGCACAGAGAAGCAGAGGTTAGAGAGATTATAATTACCCTGAGGAAATATGGGGTAGTTGGGTTTTGCAGTGCAGCGGTAACCCAACATACCAAATTTTATATTGCAAATGAAAGATATACTGAAATAAATGAAAGATATCCAATGAATGGATAGTTGGTTTTACACTAAAACATTTTTATGATAGTCTTTTTAATGAAAAGTTGAGTCGGTTCATATAAACAAGTTATACTAGCTGCCTCTGAGATACACACATAAGAATATGTTGAGCTTGAATCCAAATAACAAATTATAGTTTCCTTATAATTCCTTATAATTAGATTGGAATCACATGTTGTAATACCCACTCAGTAAGTGCTATGCCAACCATCCTTGAGAATATCAGGAACTTTAAGAAACTTACCTGTTTAACTAGAGCTCTCAAATGTATTTGAATATGGAACCTTTAATTGTTTCTAAGCAATACCAATGGATAATATATTATTAATTGATTATACTATTAATATAATACTAGCAATAATAATTACTGATACTAAATACTGATTAGGAAGTCTAGTCTATTCCACTAATTCCAGAATCCACAGACCCTGGAACTCTCCCTTTGAAACTCATCCCTCCCTTTTCTAATATTACTTACATCTTGAGCAGTCTAGTTAGGAAGATCTTCCTAATATCTAACTCAAATTCTCATGCTGAATCCCAACCTCTTTCCCTTATAATTTTTCCTCCAGAAGAGCAGAGAATACTTGCTTGAATAGTCCTGTATACAGTGACTGCCGGTACAGAAAACTATCCAAGATTTACTTATTTTATTCAAGTTAAAAGTATCTGTTTCTATAGACTTTTTTACATTTTCAACATTTTATCATTTTTATAGTTCTCTAAATACACTTCAAACTTTCTAGGTTTTCCTTCAGTTGAGAAAACAAACTGAAGAGTCTTACTCTAACACTGACAGATGCTGCCCAGTGAAAAGGGTTATTTCAAGGTTCTGTTTAGAGCACTGCTCCACATGGTGAAGACTCATCTTTAGCAAAATGATCTTCATCAAAATGGTTTCCCCTATAAGCTTCAATGGATCCCAGGGAACTCTTTCAAACAGAGCATTGAGGAAGCAGAAGAAAGTGGTGGAGAATTGTATCATGCAGAACCACAGCACCACTGAGGACAGCATGCCTCTTCCAATCACATGGGTGTGAAATTCCCTCTGTCACATTCTGGAGAACAAACACCTCACTTTGTTTTGAGGCTTCTGGGAGCAGAATGCTCATTACCGCCATCCACTGTTGGGGTGCTCAATGATTAAAAGATTCTCTGGGAAGATAACCTGAAATCAATTTGTCTTTCTAGAGCTTTTCTCACTCAGGTGTTAGCTGTGCCTCCTGGGAGCCACCCAGAACACATCCAACAGAAAGACTTTCAAATATCTGCTAACATTTTTCTTTTATACAGGTGTGAAGATTATATTTTGGTGGTTTTCAAGAATTGATGAAAGAGCTAAAATAGTCTATGATCCGTGAACATTGCACCCAGGTGCTGAGAGGCTGAAAGAGGCAAGTTTAAGGCTGTGTCTAGGTAATGCAAAGTCCCAAGCTTTTTAGAATGTCAAGTTCACCTACTGATCCCAATCAAAGAGATAAAGATGCCCAATTGTTTCAAAGAATTTGGATGGAAAAAATAGAAAAACTTTATAGAATGGACGTTTAAAAATGGAAAAATGGAAGACTGAAACAGAGTCCAAAAAATCTACAGTTGGAAGAATAAAGTTGAAATCTCCAGTAATCTAGTTGTCCAATCAACTAAAAGAAAGTTTAGGAGTCAAATTGAACTTGCATCTTCATAAAGAAAAACCAATATCCCAGCTTTCCCAGTGGATATAAACCAAAAAGCTTGACTGTCTCATGCCAGAGAAGATTCTCTCAAACTCACCACTGAGCCATTCTGACCTGAATTAAAATGCAGGAGTCATTATACCTCCTGACATCAGAAACTCCAATTCAAATGGTCTCAGAACTGTGCTAGGAGGCAGTAGTAGATTCTATATTTTATTTGACAGAGAGGAAAGTTCTTAAAACATACATTTCTACAGTTGCTTATCTCTTATAAACTGGACATCTTCTCCACTTATACAAAATAAACTTCACCTTCCAGCTTATTTAAATTAAAGAGCCAAAATGAAATTTGAAATACCAACATATTCAATGAAAAAACAAGAAGAAGAAGGAAGACCTCTGGCTTAGGAAGTTTTATACTGCTACTAAAACACAGTGAATTTACCAGAAAATTATGGTGAAATGTTATGGGAGGCTTATATACACAGGAAGTGCTAAAAGTAGGCATTTATATAATGGAAGTGATAGCTTCAACTCTTCACTAGAACACTATGATGGCCAGGAGATAATTAACAATTATTTCAGTTTAAGGAGTTGCTTTTGTTCTTAGGATATTGTGCAGTTTAAACCCAGTTGCTCTTTGTTCTATTGTTCTTAGGATAAAATCTATTATTTCATTGAGAGAAAACAGCTAAGAAAAATAATTGCACAAAAAGGCAAGATTCGTGTCTATGAAGAAACAAATTCTTATCATCTTCCTAAGAAAAGTCTACTAAAAGCCCTCTAAACTATGTGACTTTTTCCCCTGCCAAGCAGATTTTTATACTGTCCTCTCTCCTGGGTGGCAGTGATATGCAAAGACTTCCAGGATGTACAACATATTTCTGGATTCAAAGATCACTAAGTATAGAAGAGTCAAGGAAATGTACTTAATGAGATATTAGCATAAAGAAACAATTCTTTTGTAGGCAGAAAAGGATAATACTCACTGGTTCACATTTGTATGAAAAAAGTGCATACTCTCTATCTGGAGATATTTCATATTTGATGGCTCTTAGCCAGTTCCTAAAAGAAAAAATAGACAAAGAATTTTAAAAGCGTTACATATAACAAATCAGAATCTTGTAAACAAAAAATTATATCTGCTGGTGCCATTTTCAAAAAATTAATTAGCTAATAAATGGCTATATCCTTTCTTTGTTGGATTGAATAATATTTAGCTAATGGAATGTTTTCATTTATTTGTATTTTTTTTTCAAATTTCAGCAAAACTTACTTATTGGACTTACTGAGACAAGCCATTATAAATAAGCATTAAAGGCTGGGCACGGTGGCTCAAGCCTGTAATCCCAGCACTTTGGGAGGCCGAGGTGGGGGGATCACCTGAGGTCAGGAGTTCAAGACCAGCCTGGCCAACATGGTGAAACCCCATCTCTACTAAAAAAAATACAAAATTAGCCAGGTGTGGTGGCGTATGCCTGTAGTCTCAGATACTTGGGAGGCTGAGGCATAAGATTCGCTTGAACCCGGGAGGCAGAGGTTGCAGTGAGCTGAGATTGGGCCATTGCACTCCAGCCTGGGCAACAAGGTAAAACTCCATTCCAGAAAAAAAGAAAAGAAAAGAAAGAAAAGAAAAAGAAAGAAGCGTTAAAAAGCAAACTTTTCTACAAGACTCCTCAACCTCTTGATATGTTTAGACTACCTTTTCTCACTAATTCTAAGAAGCATATAATAAGCAGAGTTGTTACTAGAATAGAATCGCATTGTACACATTATTTTGCAACTTGCTCTTTTTCCAATATGGGCATCCCTACAAGTCAGTAGATAGAAGACTAACTATGATTTTTTCCTTCAAATTTCCTCATAGTACAAACATCATCCCCCATAAATGATACCATCAACTGTGCTGTTTTCTTTTAATTGCCCCTGCCCTCTGCACTGCAAGCACATTTACTCCACAGATACCACAGCCACCCCCAGGCCCACATTTGCACGGCTGGTGGACATCACTCTATGTATGCTCAGGCAACCACATGAAATGCAGAGAGATGACAGAGATTAGAAATGACATCACATTGGCCGGGCACAGTGGCTCACGCCTGTAATCCCAGCACTTTGGGAGGCCGAGGTGAGTGGATCACCTGAGGTCAGGAGTTCGAGACCAGCCTGACCAATACGGAGACACTCTGTCTCTACTTTAAAAAAAAATGCAAAATTAGCCGGGCATGGTGGTACATGCCTGTAATCCCAGCTACTCAGGAGGCTAAGGCAGGAGAATCGCTTGAACCTGGAAGGCAGAGGTTGTGGCGGACTGAGATCGCGTGTTGCCCTCCAGCCTGGGCGACAAGGCGAGACTCCATCTCCAAAAGAAAAAAAAAAAAAAAGCCTTGTCACATTGCGCTCCTCTGCACCTTAGTTTTCTCATGCAACAATGCCTTAAGGAAATGAAGGAAATGACTCCAAGGACTTAGGTTCCTTTGATTGAGTAGTGATTTTAAAGTTCATAATATCGCATAGTGCATACACAGTGGGATATGCTTTAATTTAGTCAGCAATTCTCACCAAGGGAGACAATCCATACCTGTTATTTATGGTAGCTTTGTTCTATAAAGTCATCTTGAACACTATTTCATGTCAGAACTAGTGGATACTGAACCATTGCCTCTAGAAGAGACTCAACGTTAGGTTCCTTTGAACCTCTGGTCGCAACATTTTGGTCAAATGATCAATAGATAATCTTGTTTTATGTGTCTTTCTTTTTAAAGACATCTTATCGAATATATATTGTTGATTCATAAACATTGGACTCATGGCCAGCAACACATGACTTATGCTAAGCAAAGCTAATCTCAAAAGATACATTTTCTCCATAAGGCGCTCACAGCCTTCTTGCACTTGGCTGACACTATGCAGTACTTCCAGCACTATGCACAGGACCCGCTTTCAACAGTGAGATCACCAGCATAAAGCACAAACATGCAAAAAAAAAAGGAGCACCAAATGGAACAACAGAAAAGGACAGTGGTTCATAGCATGAAAGTTGAAATGAAAAAGCAGAATAGTGCTTTGTTCTGCTGTAGCTGGGAATGCCAACATTGGACAACTCAAATCTTTTGCACTATGCTTGAGAACGATGGCAAAAGTGCTATGATTATCTCCTCGGGGTTCACAGATACATTTTATCACATGGGTGAATTTGGAAATATAGAAGCTGTGAATAATGAGAATAGATTATAAGCATTTCTAGTGAGCTCTTACTATAAACAGTGTTGTAATAAAGATCCCGAATTTATGTCTTTTAAATATATGTGTGGTTTTCACATTTTCGTATAGAATAGATATCCATGGGTAGACAATTTACAAGTTTTAAAATTAAATAGGTATCATAAACTGTTTTTCAAAAATGTTTTTGGAATGTGCACTCCCACCACAGATGTATGAATGCATGTTTTCTTCCCTTCTCTGGAAGCATAAGGTGTTTTTCCTTCAATTTTGACCCTCCTATGGATGTAAGTGGAGCCTCATTGATAGTTTAGTTTCTATTTCACTGCTTATGGATACATTTGATCCATACTATCCATGTTTTAGGCAATGTTGATTTGATCTTTAGAAAACTGTCTATCCACTTTCCCTTGAAAATACTCTCCATGCTTCCATTTTTCTCCTCCTGTTCATTTTTAAACTCCTGCCTGTCATGCTCTTATCCCCACCACGCAACCACAATCTCAAGGTTATCAGAGACTCACTTTGCTAAGTGCCATAATTTCTCAGCTGTCATCTTACTTGACACATTTGACCAGTCTCTCTACTCCTCAAAGCCCTGACTGTACCTGGCTTCCCGGACACTCATCACTTGCTTTTCTCCTACCTCCCTCACCGGTTCTTTTCATGCTATTTTGTGCTTCTCTTTGTTTTCTGAGCTCTGAATGTTTGGAGTGCTCAAGGATTGATATTTGGATCTCCCTCACTTCCTGAGTGGTGTTATCAGTCTCATGGTTGTAAAAACCATGCACCGGCCTGTGAGGATTCCAACAGTCATGTCTCAGCCAGACCACCTGAACCTGCACTGGACCTGGCCTTGAATTTCAGACTTGTCTACGGCCAACTGCCTCCCTGACATCTCTACCTGAGTGTCATGGACCTCAAGTCAATGGGAATAAGCCGAGCCCTTCTACTCCACTCCCACCTGCTCAGCTCCATAAGCAACCTTTTCTCTTCTCCAGATGGTAGCAGCCCCATTGGCTTGGTTATTAGGTCAAATTCTTGGCTATCTTTCTCTTTCCTCTGTTTTACATACCCTACATCTATGTGGTTGGAAAATACCATTGGTTTACCTTCAAAATGAGTTTGGAGACCATTTCTTCCTCTCTTTCCACTACCATTACCTTGTGTAAGGTGTGTGCATTCTTTCCTGAGGTACTGCAGTGGCCTTCACCTACTTTCCCAGGTGGCCAGGGGCATCTCAAATATGCAAATCACATTGCTCCCTAGAAACCCTCCCAGCTTCCCGTCTCACCTGTAGGAAAAGCTAGAATCTGACTGACCAGGCAGCCCTGCTGGACAGTTCCCTCAGCTCTCTGCATCCATCTCCCAGTATTCTCCCCTCAGTCCCATCCCCTTCATTCCAGCCACGCCAGTCTCTGTCCATCCCTAGAACAAACCAGGCACACACATAAATTTCTCAAAAAGCCTGTACACTTCTCTGCTTCTGCCTGAAATGTTCTTGACCTTTCATTTCTTTTGGCTTTTTTTCTCAAGTCACCTTCTAAGTGAGGCCTTCCATGTCCTTCAATGGCTAATAAATCTAGATATTAACAGCCTTGCCTCTAACTTATAACCCTTTTCTCACGGTTTATTTCTCTAGGTCTAATCATGTCATACATATTATGTATTTTTAACTTATTTATCTTAAATATTGCCTGCAGCCCCAACTTCGACAGAATATAAACACCTTGAAAGGAAGATTATTATAATTTTTAATTTATCTCAGTAATGTTTTGTAGCTTTCCTTTATACAGAGTTACCCACATTTTGTTAAATTTATTTAAGGATGTACTATAATTGATGCTTTGTACATATAAAATACACGTATATTTTAGTTTAAATATTCAATTGTTTATTGCTAATATCAAAATTCATTTTAGGTATCTTGACCTTGTTTTTCTGTGCTTTAATCATCTTCTATTATTTGTTCTGGTAGATATTTTCTGTATATTTCTTAGAATTTTCTACAAAAAATCTATCTCCCTGTGTATATAAGTTTTTCCTTTCTTTTCTATCTAGCCACTTTTTATTTCTTTTGGTTGCCTGTTGCCTCTGAGAACTGCCAGTATATTATCAGTAGAAGTAGTGAGAGTAGAAGAACCTTGCTGTTTTCTAAGCAAGGAGAAAGCCTTCATTCTTCTCCATTGAGTATATTTGCAGTATTTTTAATAGATACATTTTATCAGGTTGAAGATATTCCTGTCTATTTCTAGTTTGCTCAGAGTTTTTATAATGAATGTGTGTTTAATTTTTTTTTTTCTCAAATGCTTTTTCTGCATCTATGGAGATGATTATGTTATTCTGCTTTTCAGTCCTAGTCTGTCAATATAGTAAATTACATTTGCTTGATTTTCAAAGGTTAAACCAACCTTGCATGCTGGGATAAGCTACCATGATATATTATCATACTGATATATTGGACTCAATTTACGCGATATTTTGTTGAGGATTTTTGCATCTGTGTTCATGAGGGAAAGTCATCCGTGGTGTTATTTTCTTTCAACTTCTTTGTTTGGTTTTCATTTCAGAGTAATACTGGCCTAAGAAATGGACTTAATGCAATATGTCTTCCTCCTCTTCTATTTGTCTAATAAGTTTGTGCAGAATTGGTACTATTTCTTACATAAATGTTTGGTAGAATTGATTAGAGTGAATCAATTTGGTCATGGAGTTTTAAATATGGGGCTTTTAAACTACGAATTCAATTTATTACACTAACATCCAGTAATTCAGGTTACTTATTTCTTCACTGGTGAACTGTAATACCCGGTGTCTTTCAAGGACTTTTCTGTTTCATTTAC